GGTGCTTTCACACTTGGTTCGATTGCTTGGTCCGAACCCGAGTTCGATTGCTCCCCCCTCCCCCTGCCGGACTGTGTTCACATTATATTATTTGGGTCAGAACTGCAGTTCGTTTGCATCATCAAGCCAGCAGCTGTTTACCCCGTTGCTTAGTAACGATGGCGCAGGAGAAGATGGCAAAATGCGTAGCATTGCTCTCTTCAATTTTATATTTATGCTTTTGAACCGTTGGTTTTGTTTCCAAAGCTTCAGTACATAAAAGCACTTACATCTGCCTTACGAATGTACTGACAATGCTCTAAAGAACTCTGAAGGTGAACAGAAATGAGATATACAGCTCTCTGCTTGCAGCGCGTCAGTCACGCTTGTCAAGAAAGTGAGTGAAACGCACACAAACACACATTTTTATCAAATAATACGTCATTAATAGCGGTTCACGTCCGTGATTTGGTACGATTGCGTTCACATCAGCAGCGAACCGTACCGGAGTTCACTTGAACTGTACCCCAGACCACTTTTTAAATGGACTCGGGTACAGTTCGCGGGTGCGCACCCGAGTTCGGAAGACCGCATTCACATCATCCAAACGTATCGAACTCTGACGTCAATCGAACCCGGGTGCGCACCAAACATGCTAGTGTGAAAGCACCTTGAGTATAATGTTTAGTAATGAATCTTTGCAAATCGCCTTTCCTAATAATGTGCTAATAAGCAAGTTTCACGATGAATGCGGCTAAAGTAAACAGTCTCTCTAAGAGCTTAGAAGAGAGGGGCGGTGTCAGCATAGTTCATTAACATTTAAAGGAAAATGCAACAAAAAACGGCTTGATCTGAAAAGAGCTGTTTTTGACAGGGTAAAAAATAAAATTTTTACACTACCATTGAGAAATTTTAACCAAACTATGTTACAGACTTTTCATTAAGACCCTAAAGAATCATATCAACTTGTGGAAAATGGGCATCCGATGACCCCTTTAACATCATGAGATTGGATGTAAATCTTACAAATGCAATCAATACCGTATTTCTATATTGATTTCTTTTGTTAGGCAACTGTTGTGCTTGAATTAGATTTTTTTCAATATAAAATGTGATAGAATTAAGCAATACAAAAGAAAGAGCTGTTTTCACGAACATGTGCACGATTGCAAATGTGATATTGATTTTATACAAGTGTTCAATAAACAAAAAGTTAATATTAGGTTACTTAAAACTTTTGTTTAAAATTTTGTCTAAAACATTTTTCTGCAATGAAATAGTACCAATTCTGATGCAACCTCTGTGCCACCTGTGCAGTGTAAAGATGAATTTTGCAGTTACAGATATGATGGTTCGGTAAGTACCTTGGCTTTGATGTATGGTTTTGGTATAACATGGGGAAAAAAATTTAACATAAAATTGCTTCTTCTTTTTTTTTTATTAAACAGTGATTTACTGAACAAATTGCTCTTTCTTTAAATAAATTCCATTAGAAAATGTAAATCGTCTTAGGGATAAATCTACTTATGCTCTACCCAAAGAGCACACATACATCTGCAAGATGTCTGTTAAAGATCGCTTGATCTGTAAAGCATCTTCTGTGTACAAACATCTAATAGACATCTTTAAGATGTCAGTTTTACATACACTCTAATTCATAAACATTGTAGCGTCTGCTTAGGATCATTGAGGGTCATGGGGGCATTTGCATATAAATTACAGTCCTGGCCCCAGATTCTACCATTATATGGGTGCTAAATTGCCAAAGGTTCCCCCCATTATCAATTAGAGGCTAACCAGATCAACTCTCTGGTCTCCCCATCAACTTCAAACACATTCCAATGTCCTAAGAAACAGTTATCCACAGCACCTGGCAACAAATGTCTGATGGCCAGCGAACTACCCCCATGCTCGCAATACACATAACACACGCACACATAAAGACATTTTCTTTATTTAAACTATAATTAATTAGTTACAATTGTATCTGGTATATGCATGTGTTGTTTATTTATTTCCCTATTATATTAGCCTAGATACAACTCTTTATTTGTATTAGTTAGACTCTCAATGCTTATATTCAGGTATGAGTGTATCTCTGCTTTAAAGGGGTCATATGATGCTATTTTAAAGATCATTATTTTGTGTATTTGGTGTAACAGAATATGTTGACATGCTTTAATGTAAAAAAAACACATTATTTTTCAAATACTGTACATTATTGTAGGTCCTCTATGCTCCGCCTCTCTCAAACACTTCGTTTTCTACGAAGTCCCTTCTTCTGACAAGCGCAGTCTGCTCTGATTGGCCAGCTGACCCAGTGCATTGTGATTGGCCGAACACCACAAGCACGCGTCAGAAATGTAATGCACCTTACCATAATCGCGAGCTTCAAGCTTTCAAAGTAAATATCAAGACAGTTAATAATGTCGTTAGTTTTACCATCAGTTCAAGCCTGAACGGGCAACAGAGTCACGTGACAGACACAGTGATGATGCAGTACACAAGCCGCGGTTAAGACAGCTGACGTGCTATGATTTCTGACAGGCAGTTCACTCTCCTGTGATGTGACACTGTTCTCCTCACTCACACACACACACACACACACAACGCGTTACTCTGTGCAGCGCAAAACTCCGCATTTGAACAGTCAATAGCAAATACTTAAACTAATAACAAAACATACTTAGTCGCTGAATCAGAAACGCCAGATTGTCATAGCAAAGTCGGAATTTACCATTTTTATTTTTAAATAGCCTTTGTGCACAGCCAGCCTTGTACTCTTCTAGGTTAAAAAAAGGTTCGTCCATAAAATGCGTTGCACAAATTCGAACATCTAAGTTGTGCTGTTCTGTTGTAAATAAATCTTAACTAATGATTCCTAATTGCATCTACTTCCGGAAGGCCAAATAAAGTGCTTTTGCTTTCATACTTAATCACACAGCATCTCCCTGACATGGCTGCATCAACACTGCTGCGGTTCCTGAAACCACGCCTTCTTTCTTTGCGTGCACATTTGGGCGGCATTATGCTAATATTTCCACATAGTGAGGTAGATATGTGGGGGCGTGTTAGAACGAGCCATTTTAGGTAGGTGTGGTTGACTCTTAACTTTTATAAAGAATATCTCTTTGGATTTGAGACTTTAGTCTTTACAACTTTACAGATCTTCTTTATGCACCAAGAGCTTGTAACACTCCAAAGAGAAAGGAAAACTTGAAATCGCATCATATGACCCCTTTAAGATATTCTAGATGTTTCGTTCTTGGTATCAAAATGCGATCGTGAAATGCATCATTTCATTTCATCATCATGCATCATACTATATGTACCATATTTTGGGTATAACTGCATCAATCCTCCAGACCAGCAATAAACATGCAAATGGGCCATAAACAGAGACAAAGAAAGTTTCTCCCGCTCAAAATTCATGCCTCTGATTGGGCATCCCACCCAAAACTCAGACGGAGTATATGTGAAACAGGTATTACCCTTTGCATATTTTATTGTGCGTGACATGATTTTACACACAGCGTGTGTCTTCTCCAGGTCGTGCTTATCAGGTTGTTCATAAAAGTTCATTCAATTTAAAGCAGCGCAGCGCTAGGATAAGGATCCGCCTGCTCTCTTATCGCTCTCGCGGTACTTGATGTCATACACTGATCATTCTTAATTTCGACACCCCTAATTGTCATGTTTCAGGCCTGCCAGTAAATGTCTCCTTCAGACAAAGAAGTAAATGATGACATGTACTACAAGTGCCCTCTTATACTCACAGGCGCACCAGTAGTGTTTTCATGGATTGTCATTGGCCAATAAGATTACCATGTTTAAAACGTGCTCTTGCCTCCCTCTGCCATTAGGTGCATTCAATTTAAAGCAGCGCAGCGCTAGGATAAGGATCCGTCTGCTCTTTTATCGCCGATTAAGTTTTTCATAGCATTAGCAGACACAGTATCTTGTTCCCCTTCTCAGAGAACCATGGTTACATTCATAACCCAAGACATTTTTGGACGTAGCATTCCGTTTTTGCAGTATAGTCAGTTTAAACTGCACTTGAGTAAAGTACAGATCCCCCAAAATAATACTTAAAAATTTTTATTTTCACTACAGGGGGACTTTATGTTGTTTATTTGCCTATGTTGTGTTTTTAATATGCTTTTAGACAAACCATGTGCCAATCTATTCAACACCATTGCGGAGTATTTTCTCCTTAAAACTGTAGTTTCCCAAAGGCTGACCCAGAAATGCAGTTTGCTACGTCACAAACCAATAACGTCAAGGGATCAATTCCTATCACTAGCATACAAAATATACCAATACCAGCACAAAACCAAAAATAAATTAAAGCAAAAAACCCATGAAGCTGTGGTTTAATGTGAATTTAGAACCACTAACTTGCATTATAACCCGTGGCAACAGTGTAAAAGTAGCCCGGAGTCAGACGCACCTCACATGCGTCTGCTCGCGGGCGTGAATTAACAATCACAAACGGCTGCATTCGAGTCTTCAAGGCATTTTAGGACACAACATCGTCAAGTAAGTAACTTTAACGAATGTTACAGTATTCACTGTAGTTGTCCGCTAGTAAAAACATAGTTTTATCAGTCATTATCTGTGTATGCCATTGTTTTGCGTTTACTACATTTCAGTGGATCAGGAGGCGCTGGCTGGTGTGACAATGGAGGCAGGACTAATTTGCATATTCATAGATCAGCGTATAGTAAATGAGGCAAGGGTGTAGAGTTACATTCAAGCTATTTTAAGAAAATATTCACAAGAAAAAACATTTAAATGTCATTTTGATGATCAAAGATAAGTTTTAAGGGATAAAATATTTGACTACAGGGGGACTTTAAGTACAATAAATCAATAAAAATTACTTGTGTTTTATAACCCGGGATAAAAATGTTCTTTCAGCAAGAGGTGAAATGAGACATCAATCAGCATAAAACTACCAGTAGTGAATACAATTTTGGGTAGGCGCCTGGGGTCCATTGCCACCTTGGACATCCTTCTGGCTCTGCCACTGGCTGCGAGTTGGTCTTCCAGAGATAAAATTTGTGCCGGTTTAACGATGCCCAAGTTAATTAGTGACTTCTATGCCAGATGTGAATGATCGGCGACAGATTCACCAATTCTGAAAGGCTGCTGCCGCCATTATAATTAAATTTTCACACTACATGATTATGGTATTATTGTAAAGATTAACAATGAATTTCATTACCTGTAACAACAGAAATATGTTTAACAAAATAATATAAAATTATATTTGTTACAGTATTCAAACGGCATCAAAAATAGTGAAAATGCTCTTAACATCTGCAAAACATTTTCATGTGTATATTTAAGTGTGATGATTTTTTAAATTACACTTTGAAAATTAGATGAGTGAATATGCACTTTATTTCTGAAACTGTTGTTTCCTGTAACCCTCTTACCACTCGGAGGAACATTGCTACTGCTTTCCAGAATGAGTTAGCAAATGATGATTCAGGTCTCTTTCATATGTGAAACTCTCCTCACACCAAAGACATGTGAAAGGCCTCTCTCCAGTGTGAATTCTCATGTGGACTTCAAAGTTTGGTTTTTGTGTGAATCTCTTTCCACACTGAGGGCAGCTGAAAGGCTTCTCTCCAGTGTGACCTCTAATGTGAACTTTAAGGATTGATTTGTTTATGCAAGTCTTCCCACAGTGATGGCACATGAAAGGCTTCTCTCCGATGTGAATTTTGACATGATCCTTGAGTTGTTTCCCATCTATGAAACTCATTCCACACTGAAGACATACAAAACAGTTCTCGCTTGAGTGAATTTTCATGTGCTGATAAAGGTTTACTTTACTTATGAATTTTTTTCCACACAGAATACATTTGAATGACTTCTCTCCAATGTGAATCCTCAAGTGAGTCTGCAGACATTCTTTTCGTGAGAAGCTCTTCCCGCACGGTTTGCAAGTGAAAGGCTTCTCTCCAGTGTGAATTCTCATGTGGGCATTGAGGTTGCCTTTTTGTGTAAAACTCTGTCCACAATGTTGGCAGATGAAAGGCTTCTCTCCAGTGTGAATTCTTATGTGGGCATTAAGGGTTTCTTTACGTGTAAAACTCTGTCCACACTGAATGCAAGTGAAAGGCTTCTGTCCAGTGTGACCTCTCATGTGGGCATTGAGGTTGCCTTTTTGTGTAAAATTCTGTCCACACTCTTGGCATTTGAAAGGCTTCTCTCTAGTGTGAATTCTCATGTGGCCATTAAGGGTTTCTTTACGTGTAAAGCTCTGTCCACACTGAGTACAAGTGAAAGGCTTTTCTCCAGTGTGAATTCTCATATGGACTTTAATGTTTTGTTTTTGGGAGAAACTCTTTCCACATTGATGGCAGGTAAAACAGCTGTTAGATTTGTTTTTCTGAGCTCTGTTTTCTGAGGAAGTCTTCTCAGTCTGTGTGGATTTTCCTCCGGTAATGAAATCATGATGTTTCTTACACCAATCTTTCACTTCCACTTCATTCATTTCTTGACTCTCCTCTTTCAGTGCTATCAGGTCTAAAGCAAAAAAAAAAAAAGACAGATACAAATAAACACCAGCTTAATAGCCCAAAGCAACAGACATCAAAACCAACCTGAAAGCATTAAAGCATCAAGGCCAGCATCATCTTGAATATAACGGTTCACTTTCTTTAGGACAAAACCAAAAAATCTTCAGTCCAAGAAATCTGGCAGTTATCAGACCAAAGAGAATGCTATGCATGTCTGAAATAGTCAAAATAATAGTCTTCTTTGGTCATATGTTTAGCCCCATCTTTGCACAGAAACCTTACGGTTAATATGTTCAGATTTCCAATGCTTCATTTTTGACTGTCCTGGTGTAAAACTGCTCTAGCGTAACTTGCTTTTGTTATGTGCACATCACGGACACACCTAAGCCCCTTTCACACAGAGATTCCAGAAAATACATGGGTAATGTGATTTTGGTTCATTCACACTGCCAGTGAATTTCCGGTATCGGTGCTTGTGTTCACACCCATCCCGTAAAGATCTCGTAAAGACACGTGACATTGAGATGTGACATGTAATGTACTAGTCTAAAACGCTAGCCCGCTAAAAAACGGTAAGAAGGAAAAGCGGAATTGTTTGTATTGCTCTATCAACATGGCGCCATTGGATGCTAAAAGCTACAGCTCTTTTTACACGGCTCATGCAACTGGGTGTTTCCGAGAAAAGACTGTGGATGTTACGAAGACCTCAAGGGGCTGTATTTTGGTCAAATGTCCTAGAAAACTTTAACGAAGGTCAGTGGCAGCGGCACTTTCGAATGTCACAGAACACGTTGGAGTGTATTCTGCAACTTGTTGAGCTAAGCCTGAAAATTAAGACAACTAACTTGTTAAAGCCCCTCGAACCACGCCGTAGATTGGCTATTGTTCTGTGGTGGTATGCTACCCCTGGCGAGTACCATACAATCAGTTGTCTTTTTTGATGTGGGGCTGTCTACTGTTTGTACACTGGTTCACAAAGTCACAGTGACACTGAAGAGAAAACCTTTAAAACGTCTCATCTCTTTGCCCAGAGGGGAAGCTCTTCAAAAGACTCTAAATGGGTTCGCTGAACGTGGGTATCCTTTGTGCGTTGGTGCAATAGACGGTATCCACATCCCTATAACTGCTCCCCAGGAAGATGCTGCAGCTTACTACAATCGTAACGGTTGGCATTCAATTGTACTTCAAGCTGTTGTGGACCACAATCTCTGGTAAGAATGTAGTTCCCTTTCGAGGGAACTTCGAACTGCGTCCTCTAGAGGTTGCTATGGGGAACGGCTTCGGCATGACTGGTGTCTGAAGCATACATCTAAACACGACAATAACATTGGCCAGCGACAGCCTATGATGCCATTACCAGCGCGACCACAGTATAAAACCATTGGAATGGTCAGTGGCAAATTCTTTAAATATGAAAACATACTTACAGTCTGTGAGTCAGATCAGCCGGCATTGTAGTCTACTCTACCAGGATCAGGAAACAGTCCACCATAAAATGCGCTGCACACATCTGAATATTTGGGTTGAACTGTTCTGGAAGTGTTGTAAATACAACAACTTTTTTGGAAGGCAAACAAAGTAGTTCTGCTTTCACAACGTAACACAGCGGGCTAGAGTGAGCGGAGGCCGGCGGCTAGAGTTTGCAGTCATCAGTGGCAAATCCTTTAAATATGAAAACTTACTTACAGGCTGCGAGTCAGAAGCACCAGACTGTCCTTGCAAAGTTGGAACTGCCCCACTTTATAGAAACAGACACCGGCATTGTAGGCTACTCTCACAGATTCAGGAAACCGTCCTCCGTAAAATGCGCTGCACACATCTGAATATTTGGGTTGAACTGTTCCGGAACGGTGTTGTAAATAGAACACAACTAGAAATCAGTGGTTAAGTTGTCTTTTGGAAGGCCAAACAAAGTAGTTTCGCTTTCACAACGAAACAGAGCATCTCCACGACATGGCGGTGGCAACAGCGAGACTAAAATTTACACCTTCTTTCTTTCGTGAACATTTGGGTGGTGTTATGCTAATCTTCCCACACAGTGATGTAGACATGTGGGAGTGTGTTTAAACGAGGCGTTTTAGGAGGGCGTGGACGAGTTTGAACTTTTATAAAGAATATCTCTTTGGGTTTGAGACTTTGCAACTTTAGGGATCTTATCTATGAACGAACAGCTTGTAACACTCCAAAGAGAAAGGAAAACTTGAAATTTCATCATATGACCCCTTTAACAAGAGATGTTTTCTATGGCAGGAATCTTCTATGTTGGGCTTTTTGAGACGGTGTCAAGTCAAAAGAAAAAAGTTTCAGAGGAACTGGCCTTTGGTACCACTTTATATAAGACAGAGAGCCAAACAGCATTCACACACTTGACCGCTGTTGCCAAGGCTGTTTTACTGTTGCACCCCACACTTTGAGAACCACTGGTTTAAGGTGTTAGAATAATACAATCTTTGTTCTACAAAACGCGTCTGCAAGTTAAGCTTCCTTGTTTTATAGAGTGTATATCTGGACTCATTTAAAAACATCAAAGCTGAACAAAGTGCTAAACAGAGAGACGAGTCCAATAGAATAAACAAAATATAAGACAAAAAGAATGAAAACCAAAACTTAGAATGTCTGCAATGTATTAAGTTTTCAGACAATTTTTAAAGATGATAATAGAAGGTATTAGACCAATGTCCAGTGGCAATTGATTATACACAGTTTTTAAAGGGGTCATACGATGCTTTTTTAAAGATCATTATTTTGTGTATTTGGTGTAACTGTTGACATGCTTTAATGTTCAAAAAATACATTATTTTTCAAATACTGTACATTATTGTAGGTCCTCTATGCCCCGCCTCTCTCAAACGCTTTGTTTTCTACAAAGTCCCTCCTTCCGACAAGCAATCTGGCGCTTCTGAATCAACTACTGTTTTGTTATTATAGCAAAGTCAGAATTCTCCTCCTCTCCTAGGTTCACGAAACGGTCGTCCATAAAATGCATTGCTGTTCTGTTGTAAGTAATCTTAAAGATTCTTAAATGCATCTACTTCCGGAAGGCCAAATAAAGTGCTTTTGCTTTCGCCTAGAAACACACAGCGTCTCCCTGACATGGCTGCTTCAACACTAACTGCGGTTACTGAAACCACGCCTTCTTTCTTTGAGTGCACATTTGGGCACATTATGCTAATATTTCCACATAGTGAGGCAGATATGTGGGGGCGTGTTAGAACGAGCCATTTGAGGGGGGCGTGGCAGAGTCTTAACTTTGATAAAGAAAACTTGAAATCGCATCATATGACCCCTTTAAATGGAAATTGAGGGACATACAGAAGAGCCATGTCAAAGGATCTTAAATGTCTACTTGATGAATAGAGAATAAGAAGATCTTTAAGACAAGAGCTTGATCATTAAGAGCTTTAAAAACAAGCAACAAAATCTTGAATTGGACCATAAAATGGACTGGGAGCTAACAGAGCAATGCTAAATTTGAGGTAACATGGTCATATTTCTTTGTCTGAAGCTAATGAATTAAAAAAGATGGAACAAATGTTAGAATTATTAAGAACTATATGTAAGGTATGATTCAATTGATATTTACTGTTGTTTATGCTATTTGTGTAAAGGTATGTTAATACAATAAGAATTTGTTTGAAAAAAACTTTTTTTTACCCTCTGAATTTTGTGAGGCTCTGAATATTTTAGCTTACACGTCTAATCACACAAAAAGTTAAAAAATAAAAAATATATATATACACATACATATAAACAGCATTCACTGCATTTTTCTAAAAAATATATACAGTGCCTCATACTCCATTTTTTTCACATTTTATGTTGTAGCCTTATGCTTCAAAAAAAAAAAACATTTGTGATGACTTTCCAAATTTATTAAATAGGAATAACTGAAATGACTGCAAAAGTATTAATTCCTAACTCTTTGGCAGTGATTACAGCCTCAAATCTTTTTGTGTACGATGTGACAAGTTTTGCACATCTGCATTTGTGTGTTTTCTGTGTTTCTTCTCTTCAAATCCTCTCAAGCTCTGTCAGGTTAGGTGGACAGTTATTATCTCTAAAGATGTTTGATTGGATTCAAGTCACTCTTGTATTGGCTTAGCTGTGTGCTTAGGGTGATTTTCCTGTTAGAAGATGAACATTCTTCCCAGTCTGGTTTTCATTAAGGATATTTCTGTATTTTTCTGCGTTGAGCTTTCCTTCTACCCCAGGGGTGACCAATCCTGCTCCTGGAGGGCCACACTGTCCTGTAGAGTTCAGCTCCAAACTAGGGTTGTGCGATTAATCGAAATTGCGATTTGAGACGTTGCGATTTCCTAATTGCAAAGCCTGCGATATGGACGCGATATTACTCCATTACTCTGTTCCAGAGCATATGCATGACTGCCAGCCTTGAGTTGCAGCGTCTCGTAATGATTGTTTATACTCGCACCCGGCTCCGCACCGCAAGTCTTCACGAGCGCATCTGGCAGTATGGATGAGGCTTGACGCGTGCGCGCAACCTGTGTCGACTCGCGCCTGGCTCCGCGTTTAAAACGAATGTAAATTCAGTCTAACTGCTTGCTAATTTCACTTGGATGAAATGAAACATTCAGCACATTTTCCACTTGCTCTTAAAATCCCAAATACTTAAAATGAATAAATCAGCCTATGTAACATATGTAATACTTTAATAATTGACTTAAGAAATACAGTTCTTTATTTATAAAAAATAAACAAATATTTTCTGTGAAATTCAGTAATTAAATTAATTCTGTAAAAGTAGTTATATCATTATAATCTTGCCTGCTGAAAAAAAAACAATAGAACCCCTCCCAAACAGGAAGTGAAGTAAACAGAAGAGAATGACAAAGTAACGGTCCACATAACAGAACATAAACCTGACAATAAGATCGTTAGGTTATCGTTAGCCTATATGTATAGCAGTTAGCCTAGTTGTAATCTGATTTTCTAATCTGACTGGACAAGAGACTTTCTATTGATATTTCCTCCTGCGCTTCTAGACGGGCTGTCAGTCAGTGCAGTTACAGTGTTGTGCCACAAGGTCATTCAACTACACGTTCAAAAACGCTGATTCATTCATTCAAAGAGACGTAATGAAACACGCTGTTGAAATTATTTTAACTTTGAGCGCCACTTTAGAAGGCTCAGCTGACCAGCTATGCGTCGATGCAAAGACAGAGATTTCGCTTTCCTTGGACATGACAACCTATTTTCACAAATATATATGACTCGGCCTGGAGGATAGACGCAAGTAATCTCACACTCAGTTGATCTCTCTCTCATTCACTGTCTGTTTAGGCTTGTTAAGTGCAAATCTACGGAGCCTCTGTACAAATCAGCATTGTACACATTATGTTATCGTTACTAACTTGTTTAATATTTAGTCCACATGCATGAAGTGTAAAACGAGAAGGGCATAACCTTACGAAAAAAGAAAACACGCAAAAATCGTGGTTGCTGCGGTTCTTGTATTCCTCTGCGGTTTGCTCGTCAATAGTATTGCGATATTGCAGTTATCGCGACAGCCCTAAATTGGAGCTAAACTTCACAGGACAGTGGTCTTCCAGAACCGAGTTTGGACACCCCTGACGAGTCTCCCAGTGCCTGCCACTAAATAACATCCTCCCTGCATGATGCTGGCACTATCATGCTTCACCGTTGTGATAGTGTTGTGCAGGTATGTAGCAGTGCCTGGATTCCTCCAACGTCACGGAGTTTCCCAAATTTTGTTTCCCATAGTCTTGAGATTTGCGCATACGCACTCTTTTCCCCCCACGATGGGGGAAGTTGTGGCCTAATGGTTAGAGAGTCGGACTCGTAACCCAAAGGTTGCGGGGTTCGAGTCTCGTACCGGCAGGGATTGTAGGTGTGGGGAGTGAATGTACAGCGCTCTCTCCCACCTTCAATACCACGACTGAGGTGCCCTTGAGCAAGGCACCGCTTACTGCTCCCCGGGCGCCGCAGCAAAAATGGCTGCCCACTGCTCCGGGTGTGTGTTCAATGCTGTGTGTGTGCACTTTGGATGGGTTAAATGCAGAGCACTAATTCCAAGTCACCATACTTGGCCACATGTCACGTCACTTTCACTTTTAGGATGAAATCTATGGAAAGTTTTATACATGAGGCCCCTGGACATTACAATGAGTGACAATGAAAACCAACCTGTTTGTTCCTCAGTATCTTCATGTTTGACTCTGAATGCTTCTTCAATCTTCACGTCTTCGCTCTCCTCTTTAATAAACTCCATCTTTATAACAGTGTGTCACGAGTCTCAGTTGCTTCAGCAGGAGTTTTTCTGTGTGTTTGGACACTCTGTCCTGTTTAAGATTAGAATAATTAACAGAAAGACACATATAAATCCAAACTAATTCTCTGGGTGTGTCTCAATCAGCTCCCTGTAGTTCAGTAGTCAGCGTACTAGTAAGGGAGTCAGTCAGAGTGAGAGTTAATGGACTTACATCACCTGAGAAGACAAAGACAACCAAAACTAGCACTCAAATGAATAAAACAGTTTTAACAGATCACACTAAATTCATTGAAAACATTTGCAGTCGGTTTGTAAGTTATTACACTGGTTTGTGTTTGTTGTTCTCGCTGCATTTACACCGTTTTCAAGCAGCAGGTGTCGTCCGCGTGCGCTGACTCGAACGATTCAAAACAGAATCATTTAGAGAAGAATCTAATACAACTGACTCGGAAAAAGTTTCGAAAAGCCGTTTCTCTCATCTCTAGCTGCCGGTGACGTAGTTTTAACCCAAAATATAGTACAAGTCATATGACACGTTTCACAATCACATACTGTACCTCATTGTCCGAGGAATGAAAAGCAGGTAACATTGATACCAAGAAACAAACATTTGGAATAGATTAAACCAAAGATACATACATACACCTGAATATCAGTGTTTTATGGCTTTAACTAATACAAATAACGAGTGGTAACTCAGCTAATCTAATAGGGGAACGTACACACAACACATGCATATACCAGAAACAGTTATAACTGATTAATTATAGTCTAAAATAAAGAAATGTCTTTATGTGTGTGTGTGTGTTAGTTTGGCCATTTACAGCTCTTTGGGAATGTGTTTGAAAACTCCAAATGAGGCGATACACTGCCATGCAAATCAACTGTTCCTGCTCATCTCCAAACTGGATCTCTTCTCTCTACTTTCCCTAATTTCAGATTCAATTATCAGATTTGTCAGTATTAATATTTTTATACTTAGATGTGTTTTTTTCAGATCAAACTGTAACACCGTGTGTCCCAACCAGACGCGACGTGCTAAAAAGTATCTTTTCCTTGTAGTTTATGCCCTAACCACCTGCGACAGTGACAATAAGCGACATGGGATTCTATTTTAGGAACGATTTTTATTTGCTGCGATGTTGCGGCAGGAACACCATACAAAATATGACAGTGATAATCTCAGGTACTGATTATGTGCTTTATTCAATGTTAAAAGTGTCGAATGGGAGTTTGAATATTATTTTGCGTTATCTTTATAGTCATAGTGAAAGCAACAATAGATATTTTACCTCAGCTCTTGAAAATAAATTAAAGCAATTTTGTACGTTAAAACTGAACTCACTACGAACCAACACGTGTATTACATAAAGATATCAGTCACTCAAAATCATCTCAGTTCAGTCCATTCACATTTGAATCATCTATTTTCCGTGTCCACTTTTCTTTTCTACACACTCACCATGTTTTTGCAGTTACATTGTATCTACACTGGAATGCGACAAAGCATTGCAAATCATTTGAAATTTGTGTCAGTACGTTATGTAAGAATCCACCCGCCAGCCCAAAAAGCGGAATCCAGCAGCCTGGTCGAAGGTTTAATGTGTATTCGGTCTTTTACTTGCGCTTCTGAATTTATGAGGATTTGGTTTAAATTTTAGTCTAGCTCCGTGTTCAATCTGACTCCAATTTCACATGATCATTAAACTTAGGCAATATTTCTATTCAAAAGCTGATCACAGATATCGATTGTTTATTCATTTAGATATTTTAGTATTCTGGGCCGAATAGCAAAACAAACTTGTAGCCAATCCGCAGTAAGGGGCATAACTACTCAGGATGTGGAGGAGAGCGCGTTCAGTGCACGGGACGGACATTAGCCGAGCGACAGAAAGATAGAGATGGCGGATAAAAAACCAAAGAGGAAAACGTCTGCGGAACAAAAGAAGGCTTAGGACCCGTGTAAATATCGGATCAGCTTTCCAGCGCTGGAGAGAACTCAAGGAGCGGAAGGCCTGTGATCGGACGCCGAGGTTGCTTTGTTTCTTCTAGAAAGGTGAGTAACAACGTGTCTGCTCCGCAACAGCTAAAGTCTGTCTAGTACACTGGACACGACAAAGTGACCGTTGAAAATCATTTGAAATTTGTGTCAATACGTCATGAATGGAACGCAGGAGCAGTTTTGCTTTGTTTCACAGAACTAATCGTTGCCTGGGTTGCGTACGTATGTGTGGGGTAGAGCTATCAAAATAGGGGCGATACACTTTTGGGGTAGGGGCGTGTTTGTTTTGGTGATTTCAAATGTCAACATTGGCTACCAGAAATCGCTTACCCCACCTTTAAGGACCTAACATCGCTCAGAAATTCACTCGGCCAACTGTGAATGCACGGACACAAACTTGCCAGTTCTGTAACTTACTCCGAGGATACAGGGTGATTATAATACCTTTAAGTGACGCACCCTGCTAGCAAATAACAAAGTTTTTTTTTGTTACAAAAACTGTAACTTGTTAAGCCAGGTGACAGACAGAAATCATAAGATCCCTAATGGAGAGCCTCCTGACCCGCTCATTGGTACTCAAGTATGATCTGCTCTGGACGCAGGTTTGCGGAAATGTTAAGACTACACAATAATCTACTTGAAAAATTATTTCAGAAGAGATCAGAATAAATCAAATATAACAATTTATTATTTGTCAGGTAAAATTGTATCATGCCGATTACATAATGAAACAATTAGAAGCCAATTTAGAAAAGATCATGCAATTGTGAATCACATTGTATCCGCGTGGCAACCCTACTCCTGTACATAGACACTGTAGCCATATGGGAAACAGCCAAGTGTTCCACGCAGGAGACAAACAAATTTAACAGTCACACATGTAACAGATATCCTAATTTAAGACACACGGTCTAAAATGCATAGCAAAGCACTTCTTTAAAGGTGTTTTAGAGAATAAACTTAACTAGCCTATGTGCACATGTAGTAACACAAACAACTATACAGTGTGCTCTATGGGCACAATGTGTTTAACACAATTACATTTTTGAATCATACCTGACAGCAGAGAAGACACACAGCAGCGAGAGTTCTGGTGCAGAGCTCCAGAGACTCTCACACACTGCATGGGGGTTTTTCTGACTACAGAATCCCAAAGTAGTGTTTTGTCACTTCCCTTTATATCTCAGACCGAAAACTTGGGGAGTAGTGTGGATGCCAGACATAACTGGAGCAAAAGTTATGTTTTAAAACTGAAATGCACTAGTGTAAACAGGGCTTTACTTGTCCATTTATGGTCATTTATGAAACATTTCTTCCATTTTCCAGCTGAAGGGATGGATTCCTCTCATTACATATAAAATTCAGGGCTGCCAACTCTCACGCATTCAGTGTGAGACTCACGCAATAGACACTTTTCTCACGCCACACATCCATTTTCTCACACAGTGAAAAGCACCCTAAGTTGAAAATGTAATAGGATATTGGCAAAACAGATTTGGTAAATGCTTCAAGTGCGTATTTGTGTTTGCGCTCTGGAGAACGTCAAAAGTTTCTATTTATGTGTTTTGGTAGCATTGAGCAACGTAGCCAATCACAGACAGAAAGTTTCAGGAGCGACTGACACATCCCTCATCCCTCACATAAATGTGGGCTTCATTTTCGAATGGAAGAAAAAAATAATTTGTTAAAATAGATGTAAATGCAGACTAATAGATTATAGAAAAATATTTGAATTTTCATGTAAAAATATATCTTAATTGTCATTTACAAAAGTAATGACTAGTAAATCTTCCAATTCTCTCACTTGTCTTTTGCTATTCGTTGTGGTAAACGGTTATTAGTTTTGTAGCACTGCAGCAGTTATTTTACATAATTTTATGATAGAAACGCTGTACCATGATGACGTTAATTACTAGGCTTGTCCAGATCTCAGATGTACTTTAAGAAATCTAAAAATTCCGCTAAAAATCTTTACTGTTCTACTGAAGAATCAAAGTCACCTACATCTAAGATTGTGAGTAAACTAACTGCACATTTTTGGCACTTTAATTAATATATTGATTCTGACATAAGATAAATCAAATATATAATCAATGCCTTCATTCACTCAAAAAATAATTTCACAGTGATACATATTTTCTGGTGCCATTTTAAATGACCAACGCAGTTAAAATTGAAAGCTTTTTTCACACAAATAACATAAAATAGTCTCACATTTGCACGACTTTTCAGGTGTACTGTAACTGGGATGACAAAATACCATTTTTATCACACTGATCACAATTGGTGTTCTACCTCCAGAGTAAATGTGCAGGTGATTTTTTAAAAAACTGATTTCTAACCCATTTCTCACCTTGAAGAAAACTGCAGTTTCTTTCCAGAATGTGCTTGCAAATGACGTTTCAAGTTTCTTTGACTTGTAAATCTCTTGTCACACTGAAGACATGTGTAAGGCTTCTCTCCAGTGTGAACTCTCATGTGGACATTACGGTTTCCTTTTTCATTAAAAGTTTTTCCACACTGTTGGCAGGTGAAAGGCTTCTCTCCTGTATGAACTCTTGTGTGAACCTTGAGGTTAGTTTTTGTTGTGCAACTCATTCCACAGTGATGGCACATGAAAGGCTCTTCTCCAATGTGAGTTGTTACATGATTCTTAAGGTGATTTGTGTCTGTGAAACTCATTTCACACTGATGGCATAGAAAACAGTTATCTCTTGAGTGAATCTTCATGTGGTAATCAAGATTTACTTTACATCTGAAGTTCATTCCACATCGAGCACATACGAACGGTTTCTCTCCAGTGTGAATTCTCATGTGGACATTCATTGCTGCTTTATGTTTAAAACACTTTCCACAATGAAGGCAGGTGTAAGGCTTCTCTCCAGTGTGTTTTCTCATGTGGTTTTTAAGAGTTTCATTCTGAATGAAGCATTTTCCACACTGTTGGCAGGTGTAAGGTTTCTCTCCTGTATGAATCCTCGTGTGAACTTTAAGGTTTTCTTTCCGAGTGAAACTCTTTCCACACTGTTGGCAGGTGAAATGACTTCTAGCTCCTGTCTTCTGAGCGCTTTTTCGAGAAGTCGTCTTTTTAGATTTTTCTCCAGTTCTTAAATCGTGATGTTTCTCATATAGATCTTTCTCTATCTTTACATCAAGTTCTTGAATCTCCTCTTTCAGTGGCATCAGGTCTAAAGTGGAGGAAAAAAATAAATTAAAAAAATAGTTTCAACCCAATTAAAACTCACAAAGCAACCTATGGGAGTTTTGGGGTTCAAATGTTTAATATTGACTTGGATAGTCCAGTCATCTGTGCACTTATTTATAGACTTCCTAAATACAATAAGGAATTTATTAATGATTTTTCAGACTTTTATCAACTGTGATTCCTACCTCTTATATCTTATTAATTTTAATATTCTTGATTGTTGTCCTGACAAACCATTGGTTAAAGACTTTTTAGATCTTGATGATTCTTTTAACCTTATACAGCCTTTACTGGGGCCCACTCATAGGCATGGGCACACGCTGGATTTAGTGTTTTCTTCTGGTTTTCCATTTGTAATGTTGACACTGCTGATATTCCTTTATCAGACCATAAACCTGTTACTTTTAATGTTTCTTTTTCAGGCGTCCTGCAGAGTGACAGGCCATATTGAAACCACGTACCAGGGGTTAACCCTTAAAGGGGTCATGAATTGAGAAATCAACTTTTACTTGAGCTTTTGATATACGTATAAGAGGTCATCATACTAAAAGAATATCCTGTAAGTTTCAGAACTGAAAACATCCTTGCTACGGAAATAAAAGCTTTTATTGACACCATGTCCAACGAACGCCAGATCCTGGAATGATGACAGGTGAAACACCACCTCAACAGAAGAATATCAACGCCTAATTGACACGGTCACTGCATAACCTTCCTTCAGATTCAAATATTAGGAATGTGTGGTTGAACTTTATTTTTAATGAAGTCTCAGCTCACGCGAGTAAAACATTGAGTGTTTGTTCGCTTCATTCCACCGCTGATTCCTTTGTAAACAAGATGACACTGGATTTGTAGAGAGACTGAGATTAAAAAGCAATGCTGTGCCGTATATATTGGATCCGACAGGTATAGCGCAGCAGACTTATGCGAGTAAAAAATATTTGTACTATGTGTCACTATTGCTTTGTTAGAGATCGCTTGATATGTCCTGATTGTGTGTACGTGTCTAAAGTCACAGAAGGCTCTAAATATGAAGGGCGTAGCTTGTCAAATGGCGCTTTTCCACTGCATGGTACGGCTCGGTATGGTTCACTTTTTGGGGGTTTTCCACTGGGTACTAAACTTTTTTTAGTACCACCTCGGTTGGGGTTCCAAGTGAACCGTACCGTTACCAAAACGTGACGTGTAAACTTTGCTGATCACGGATTGACCGGAGAGAATCGTCACTACCTGCGTCACTGAACTTGCGACACAAACACAAAAGAAGCGCTAGATTTAAATCAGCACAGCCAGCGAAGGATCGAACGCAACTGTTTTGAGCGAGCGCACCTTTTTTTAACAACCAAAAAGTTTTGTTGTCTGTTGCGGAAGAACAGACGTTCCTCTCGTTGATAGCAGAGGAGCGGATCCAGCGAAGGCTTGATGGGGTGACGTAGAATTAAAACTTTTTTTAGGAGTCGTGGTAGTAGGCGGCGCAACTATAACGACGTGAATAATCCCGAGCACTCTAAAGCGGTACTGAACTGAAGCGGCAGCTGCTAGGGGTGTGAATCGTCACTGGTTTCACGATTCGATTTAATTTGATAACGATTATCAAGTCAACGATTTGATTCGTTATCACAATGCATCATGATTATATCAAATTTATGTTGTGCATTTTTATTAAATTATATAAGCAGGCTACTTTTTAAACTAACTACTAATTAATAATAAATCAAAACAACTGTTTAGAACCAAATTAATATAGCTTCAAAACATACATTACAAGCAAATATAAAGTAATAAATGGGGAAAAGACAATTACAAGTGATAAACAAAAAGTACTTTAGTATCTGAGAGTGCTTTAAGTATCCGAAAGTTTACAGACAATCATAGTTATGGATTTTTCTTTTTTCCTCAGCATTATTGCTGTTTGATTATTACTAATGAGATCATAGACAATGGCAGCTTTAATAGGCTGCATTCACACTAATGCACAGACATATTTCAACATATCAGATGCTTTGTCCTGTTCTGAAAACATAACTGACTGTGTTTACATTAATTTCGTATCATAAAAGTATTTGGAGATGCAAGTGCATTTAACCGCAGCCGCGATCAAGCTTCAGGACAAACAAACACAAAGCAAACATGAAAGTCTGTCAGTATGTGAGTTTCGTGCATCTAATACTGCATTCCAAACGGCATCAATGAAAACACAACTAGAGTAAAACACTGAAATAACGGCGGGTTGAAACACACTGCCAAGCAATGCGCACGTGTCTCACAGCGCATATCATGTGCAATGAAGCCTGCAGCGATTGTCTCTAGCATACACACGTACCATATGTGGGAAAACGCACTAAGCTTGGTTTTTCCAAAATGTACCCAGATCTTGGATTTAAAAATACTGGGTGCATTTTTTAATACTCGTGTGACAAGCGTATGCGGATGACGTCATAGGCTATAATCGATTATGGTCTATTACTGCATCGATGCAGAATTGTCCATGTCCGCATTGCAATGCATCGATGTAAAGATTTCAACACCCCTAGCGGCTGCGGTCGTGGGGATGTAACGAATGGTGTAACTCACTTATTAACCACCATAGTACGATGCATTGTTGTGTAAACTAACTAGCCAGTCACGACTGCTTCCCGAACATGGTCGCATCTCCATTGTTTGAACCCCATTAGTTCAACAATTTAGGGCCATTGTTAATGACGTTACACATATGTGGTGGAGTAATAACTTCTGCTAATTAATTGAGTCAAGATCTCGGAGATGCTGCTGTATTGAACATGGCACCTGATGGCTAATTTACTATTTTTGTGCTCCCTGTCATTTTGCTTTATTTGATGTTTGATTCATTGTGGGTTCCCTCTTACGTCATACTCTGGGGTTCCCCAAGGAAATTATGCATGTGCTCAAAATTCAATGGCGCTTATTGAGAACGAGCTAAAATATATTGTTTGAAATGTATATATATATATATATATATATATTCAAACAAAATGGCAGATATAGATTGTACTGCATGTTAGCTTGCTTATTGTGCCCAAAAGCATAATTTATTTTAGTCCATATGTCTTATTAACAAGAAACCATGCTTCCAACCACAGGTGGAGGAGCTGTAGTTCCAACCATGTAAGTTTGCAATGCTGTTTGCGTATGTTGGTATGGACTATGGTTTCGGGAAACACCGAATCGTTGAACTATGTTGGTAACGACGGAACTTAAGAACATAGTTGGCTAACAATGCTTTTGGGAAACGCACTCCTGGTGGAAGGGTTGGAGACGGGCTTGTCCCTTTCTTCGCCCTCACACACCAGGTCTAGTGTTCTCTCTCAGGGATCGGAAACACACTCTGCGATCTCACTCTTGAGGCTCAGGTTTAAGATGCTGATGATCAAACAGATCGTGTCTCAAATCAGGTCCAAGGACTGGTTTGTCATGATAGATTTAAAGGACACAAACTTCCAGGTATCCATCCTTCCTCGACACAAGAAGTTCCTGAGGTTTGCTTTTGGGGGCGAAACACAAATATCGGGTTCTTCCTTTTGGCCTAGCACTCTCACCTCGCATGTTCACTAAGTGTGTTTATGCTGCATCTGCGTACTCAATTATATCGACAGTTGGATTGATATTAGCTCAATCACAGCAGATGGTGGTTTGGCATCAAGATGTCGTCCTCTCCCATATGAAAGAGCTGGGGTTGAGGCTGAACGCCAAGAAAAATGTCCTTTCTTCAGTACAGAGAACCACTTATCTGGGCATGGTGTGAGATTCAACCACGATGCAGGCACACATGTGTGAGTCAATCCTCACAGCGAAACAAACTGGAATGAATAATTCAATCGAAATGCAACAGGAGTCTCTGTTCTCTCTGCCATCTCTTATGTAATCAGCCTGGTTTCCTTTACATTAATGCTGTTTTGGACTGATTGTTTGAATGTATTGGCTTACTGGATCATTGGACTGAAAACTTTCCCGGAGTTTAGTGGCTTAAAATGATCTGATCGCAAACAGAGAAGCAAAATCGGCATTTATTGCATTAAATTATTTTAACACGTTAAGGATTTTTGAAGAAATCACATGCGTTAACGTGCTACACTGACAGCCCTAGTATTTATTAACGTAATTCATTAATGCATAAGCAGACTTTAGCACTGCATACAGATATATTTCTACATTATGTGGTGATCAGAATCCCCATCGGATTGCAATCAGAAGTTATTTCAAACACTCGCTGCTGTCTGAAAGTGAGTTTTGAGCTGGATATAGTTTTAAATGTCTTAAATATTCAGATTAGCTGGTAGCCTGATATGAAAACATGGGAAATGTTCTGTGGCGTTGACGTTCTCCTGACTCAGATTAACTTTCATGTATTCATGACCACAGTTGGCCTGCTTTGGATCAAGGAATTCGATAGGCCAAAAACCCCTGGCTGCTGGCCCTGATGAGGCACAATGAAGCCCCGCAACTGACAGGGGAATCGCAACTGGCCCTGGCACACACTAACATACTCACTTTTTGCCCATCAAACGCAATTTATGACAATAAACTGACAAAAAAACGATCAGGCATAACATTATGACCACTGACAGGTGAAGTGAATAACATTGATTATCTCTTAATCACGGCACCTGTTAGTGTGTGTGATATATTAGGCAGCAAGTGAACATTTTGTCCTCAATGTTGATATGTTAGAAGCAGGAAAAATGGGCAAGCATAAGGATTTGAGCGAGTTTGACAAAGGCCAAACTGTGATGGCTAGATGACTGGGTCAGAGCATCTCCAAAACTGCAGCTCTTGTGGGGTGTGAACCGGGTCAAGGCTCATTGATGCACGTGGGGAGCAAAGGCTGGCCCGCTTAAATTGCTCAAGAAGTTATTATGCCTATTTACCTATTATATCTTTTTACAAGATGTAATATTGGTCTTAGGTGTCCCCAAAATGTGTCTGTGAAGTTTCAGTTCAAAATACCCCACAGATAATT